ATTTTTCTGAAGAACAGCAGGCAGTTTAACTGTTCAGGACAAACAAGGGACTCATGAACAACTATCACTAAACAAAAAACACAGCTGTGGATCATTCAGCTAACAACACAGTATTAAGAATCAAGGGGATGTAAACGTTTGAACGGGATCATTTTTATAAAATCAACTATTATTTTCTCTTGTGCATTATAAGTGACCCTGGAGCACAAAAGCAGTCATAAGTAGCACAGGTATATTTATAGCAATAGCCAACAATACATTGTATGGATCAAAATTACAGATTTTTCTTATATACCAAAAATCACTAGGATATTATTAAGTAAAGATCATGTTCCATGAAGATATTTTGTAAATTTCCTACCGTAACTATATAAAAACTTCATTTTTGATTAGTAATATGCATTGCTAAGAACTTCATTTGGACAACTTTAAAGATGATTTTCTCAATATTTAGATTTTTTTGCACCCTCAGATTCCAGATTTTCAAATAGCTGCATCTCGGCCAAATATTGTCCTATCCTAACAAACCATACATCAATGGAAATCTTTATTCAATGAATGAATTTATTTATTCAGCTTTCAGATGATGTATCAATCTCAATTTCCAGAAATTTACGCTTATGACTGGTTTTGTGCTCCAGGGTCACATATGTAAACATATTTTATGTGAAATATCTTATTCAGGTCAGTACTAAATAAACAATAACATGCATTTTGTATGATCCCTCTTATTTTGGTAAAATAATTAACATTTTGCTGATTCTGAAAGGGGGATGTAAACTTTTGACCTCAACTGTATCTCTCCACTCCAGATAACACCCTGAAGCGAGTGTTTAACATCGTGAAGTTCTCCTGGGTGCTTTTCCTGGCCCTGCTGGACGGTTTCACTGCCTGGCTCAACTCCATCTGCCAGGAGCACATCGATATCTCCACCGTCCTGCGCATTGAGCGCTGCATGCTCACTCATGAGGTCAAGAAGGTAGTGCTGGCACGAGAAATCACTCCAGAGTGCTGCTGATTGGCCTGCATCTGCATTTGTATTTTATCATGTGTTATTGGCTGCATGTGACACATGATCTTTGTTTTTTTTCCCTATTTATGTTGTCTTTATTTAAATTTTTTTGTTAGTATTTTAACTTATTTTAACTATTTTATTACTGTTTTGTAGCTTTTAGCAACAACTTAAAATTAAGAAACTTTATTGCATTATGTAATGATGCAATAATTTAACAGTGCAGATATTGTTAACATGCCAGTGTCTAGAAATGGCGTGCAAAATGTAAAATATGAATAAATCTATATATAAAATATGATATAAAATTAATAAATATAATCTATAATTTTTACAATGAATATATACCTTTTTCACAATACATTTCAAGCTTTAAAATATGTAATTGAAATGAGCTTCTCAGATATATCTCAGATATATCCATACTTGGGAAACAAATAATTTTTGTAATTCAGTTGAAGCTGAAATAGAATAAAATAAAATAAGTAAAATATTAGATGAAAAACTTACTAAAGAATACGTATCTTATTAAAATGAGATATGTTGCACTAGCAACTTACTGTTATAAATTAGAGTAATAAGTCAAATGACTAAAATAAATGTAAAGGTAAATGGAAATATTTAAAAAATATAATACAAATGACAAAAGCAAATAAACAGTTTTAAATAAAACTGAAAAAAAAAAAAAAAAAAGCTAATTAAAAATATGAATAAGTACTAAAAGTAAAGGATAATGTACTTCCAGCTGGTTGTCATTGCAACATAATTTTAAGTCCTCTGATTCCTTTTTACAGTAAATACTGTCAGAATCAAGCATTTCAGAGAGCCATGTAATAATACTATATAAATAACACTAAAATAACAAGTGTCATCGAATCTCAATGGACTTCATGGAATCGAATGCAGAATCAGTATTAGCACCAATGCTATAATTACACTTCACATCAATCATGCTTGGAACGGACAGCACTGTAAACCTTGTCTGCTGCCCTGCAGGGGAATAATCCATCACGGGACAGCATCCACACGTACTACCAGAGGCAGATGTGCAGGCCAGCGTCCGCTGAGGACGAGTACTCGGACTTCAGCCCTCTGCGGAGCCAGGCTTACGAGTCCGATCTCTCTAGAGAAAACCTGTCCAGGTGAAGAAACTCCACTCATTGTGTTCTAGATCTGTTAGAGACTAGGGTTCTGTGTCTTATTACAAAGCATTCTGTTGCAGCTGAATAACATGAGCAAAAATCAACAGCCCACAGAACACTTTTGGAACTTTTGCCTATGCTTTTAATAAAAATACCACAGCAAAAACAACTAGATTAATATAAATTTCAAATATTAAAGTGTTAAAGACAAGTAAACAGTCAGTAATAAAATAGGAACAAACAAATCAATTAGCAACAGCATAAATAATTACAACTGAACCTAATTTCAGGTACAGAAACTGTAATTAAAAGTTTAAAAACACTGCATAGTTTTCTTTTCATAAATAAAATATACATGAATTAAAGTTATTAAAAATATTCAGTCAAGATCAGTGAATGATTTTCTTTTGTTCT